TCTCTCTCTCCCTCTCTCTCTCTCTCTCCCTCTCTCTTTCTCTCTCTCTCTATCTCTCTCTCTATCTCTCTATCTCTATCTCTCTCGTTCTCTATTTTTTCTTACGTCCTCTTTTTCTGTCGACCTCGTTTATTTCAAGTTCAATGTTTTTCCACTATCTTCTTCCTTTCGGTCATAATACTCTACAGAATTTGTAACGTCAGCATTAATTTTATTCCTCGGTGCCATCGTTGCACCTATCTAGCCCTCGTGTCATTTACATAAATACGAGTACACTGCCCTGGGCCCTGTAGAGACACACTGTCAGTATCTGGTTGTCTAAACTACTTAAGGTGATGTTGACTGATACTGATATGAGAGAGTAATTATGTCCGGGGTGTGGTAGGGGCCTAATCTAGGTTCCTTATTTATTCGTTTATTCAGTTCTTCTGTTCTTCAGTTATTCATTTACTTATTTTGTTTTCTTATTTATTTATTTATTTATTTATTTATTTATTTATTTATCTATTGATTTATTTAGTTACTTATTTAAATCTATTTATTATTCATATGTCTCTATTTGATTTTTAAAGTATTTTTTTATTTATTCGTTTGTATTTTTAAAATGTATTTATCTATTAACTGCTTTTTAATTTCTTTATTCGATTGATGATTGGTTAAGCTACTCATTAGTTTATTCATTTATCTATTTCTTAATTGTTCTATACGTTACTCCACAGATCATCTTGAACCTTCTGCCGTTCGTTCACTCCTGTCTGAACCCTATAATCTACGGGTTCATGTCCAAGAGTTTCCGCACGCGCATGCAGTGTGCGTGTCGCTCGTACATCTGTCGGAAGACTCACCCGAGCCTCCAGCAGGGACGCCGGCTCTTGGCTGGCTCCGACTACGAGCTGGAGACCCGCTCCACCAACGGCACCGTGCACACCGTACACACCAAGATCAGCCTGCGCCAGGCCAGCAGCAGTCACTCGGACACCTGACGCCAGGGCAGCTGCTCCAGCTGGTTCTTCTGCTGCTGCTGCTGCTGCTTCGTCTGCGGGATGTTCCGACACGCCAGGAAGCCCGCTGCTGTGGTAGACCGCGCCGCTTTTGTGGACTCGCCTCGGCCGCCGGCACCACCAGCACCAGCACCACCACTGGCCCTCGCCGGCGTTTTGGGGAGGGAGGGCTTGGAGATGTACACGATAGACAGAGCAGGGAGGAAGAAGAACAGGTCGTCGTGTTCCGCCGCCACTGCTTCCTATAGAGATGAGGAGGAGAGGGTGGAGGGGAGGGTGTGTGTGGGGAAACGTGGAGGATGGAGGATGGACAGCTTGGAGTGCTAGTGCTGTAAATACTAGTCACTAGACTAGTATCCAGTGTACACAGCCAAACGAATTGAGTCAAACTGAGTCGGGGGCCAGCAGGATTAAATTTCTTCCAAAGATGGGCAAAAGCTAGTATTTTGGCACAATACGATCGATTCCACTGTCGAGTTTGAAAAACAAACGCGTAAGATTCTGAAGGTCACAGTGGACTTTAATCGAATTCGGTCAAATTGTATCAAAATGGTCGCTTTTACATCTCCCAGGTGAAAAATTTGGCTGATCAACAACTCATCCAAATGACTTCGCTGGGCAGTGTGTCCTCAGTATAAGTTGTACGAACGATTCGTCTATTTTTCCTACAGAGATTGCCAGACATCCCACTTGTCTCTTTTGGTCCACACCAAGATCAGCCTGCGTCAGGCCAGCAGCAGCCACTCGGACACCTGACGCCAGGGCAGCTGCCCCAGCTGGTTCTTCTGTTGCTCCAGCTGGTTCATCTGTTGCTCCAGCTGGTTCTTCTGCTGCTCCAGCTGGTTCTTCTGCTGCTCCAGTTGGTACTTTTGCTGCTGCTGCTGCTGCTGCTGCTGCTGCTGCTGCTTCGTCTGCGGGATGTTCCAACACGCCAGGAAGCCCGCTGCTGTGGTAGACCGCGCCGCTTTTGTGGACTGGCAGCGGCCGCCGGCACCACCAGCACCAGCACCACCACTGGCCCTCGCCGGCGTTTTGGGGAGGGAGGGCTTGGAGATGTACACGATAGACAGAGCAGGGAGGAAGAAGAACAGGTCGTCGTGTTCCGCCGCCACTGCTTCCTATAGAGATGAGGAGGAGAGGGTGGAGGGGAGAGTGTGTGTGGGGAAACGTGGAGGATGGAGGATGGACAGCTTGGAGTGCTAGTACTGTACGCACCAGTCACTAGACTAGTATCCAGTGTACACTGCCCATCGAATTGAGTCAAACAATTGAGTTGGGGCCAGCCGGAATTTCTTCCAAAGATGGGCAAAAGCTAGTATTTTGGCGCAATGCGATGATTCGACTCACGGGCTTAAAAAACAAACGATTTAGATTCTGAAGGCCACGAACGACTTAAGTCGAATTCTGTCAAACTGTGCCACAATTGTTTTGTGGGGGGGGGGGGGGGGG